AGAGAGAGAGAGAGAGAGAGAGAGAGAGAGAGAGAGAGAGAGAGAGAGAGAGGCGAGTACGACGCAGGAAAAAGTATTTCGAGAATCACAAATTGACTTCTGCGATTAAATAGACTTTTCTTTCAATGAAAGCGATATCTCTTGTGAACGTATTGTCTGTTTTTAAGGATCTCAGGATCTGCGAGCCAGCAGTTTGGGGTGTATCGTATGTGGAAACCGTCGTAAAATCGCGACAAACGATGTCGTAAAATCTGTTTTGTCCACTGGTCCTGCCGATGGGGCCGTGAGCAAACAAATTAAGGACTGGATAAAATCGCATTCCGCGAAACGCCATCCCCAACATCCCGCTGGACCAGCTCATTAATGCGTCATCACGAATTTCCTCTCGATTCGTTTTCTTATTTGTCGCGTCAACATGCAAAACAGATATCTCGTCGCGAAACGGCGTTCTTACCTTTCTTTTTGTCGCTGCGTGTAATTTAAGAACCATTTGCATTTGATAATTACACAGCCGGGGTTCGATTGCGGAATCTTTCCCCTCGCACGGGGAGAAACGAGAAGTCACCAAGTGCTTTTTCTACAAAATAATGAGATTTGGAATTAAATTCGTTCAAACGCGGAATTTTCGACACTACTTTTCAAGAGAACGGATTTTGTCGACGATTATGTGTTTCCACAAACAAGTCCTTGTCCCAATTGATAAGTGACATACATGATAAACTTCATTTGAAGATTAATATAATTTAATATTTTTGACATACATGATAAATTTCATTTGAAGATTAGTACAATTTGATCTTTTTGAAGTAGTGATACGTAGTGATACGTAGTCAACTACTTTGAAGTAATGATACGTAGTCGTTTTTTATTTTGTCGACTTCGTTATCGTGTTTTACTCAAAGAATATGTATTGAGATATTTTATATTAACGGATTAAATATTTTTTTGCTGGAATTTTACTTACTGCTTGACCTAACTTTGGGATATCATCTTTTTTGCAGAAAATACAACTTTAAATATTAATATTTCATTTTAATATTATTAATATTATTATTAATATGTATTAATAATATATGCTTTTTAATATTATTTTATTTAAAAAAATTATAACGAAATATTATCTGGAAAATAAAATATTAATAATGCGTTATGTGTGGCAACATACTTGACGTAAACCTCGTAAACATAATTTTCGTAGAAAGTACAAATTAAATGATAGAATAAAATATATTAAAATTTTATCAATTTAATTATTCTTCTTTTTTTTAGTATCATTTACCTAAAATTATATTTTTTGAGTAATTAAAAGAATTCATATAAAAACTTTTCCATTTATAGCGGAATGCGTGAATTTGGTGCTTTTTCACTTTTTTTAAGAATGTAATTTTATATTGAAATTCTTAATATATTGCACGATTAAACTGACACGCTAATGAAATAGTAGTGCTGCAATGCAGGTATATTTTGGTTAAACGTTAATTAAGATTTTATCATACCGAGTATTTTCCGAAATATGATTTGTGGTAAATCTTCTGTGTGAGCTTGAAGATTTTCTCCTCTGCAAAATCGCAGTCTTACCGCACAAGTAGACTCCGCGAAAGTAAATTATCCGCTCCTTACCAACAATATTCCGGTTTTCCTGTTCTTTGATGGGTTCTTAGGCGAAATTAACTTTCGATATTCGCGCACCCGCCTGAGGGTAACGCGCTCGTTAATTGCATCGGTCGATGAAGATAAAGCGCGACTTTTCCACGAGATGGATGTCGTGGATATGCCGCCGTGTTAGAGGTTGTTGACCAGGAAGCTCAAATTAGACTTTGGCCTTGTCGCATATTCTGATAAAAGCGTACGCGATTAAATTATTTGCGTCTCACGTGAATTTTTACCCGAAAAAATATAATCTCATCCTTAGTGGAATCCTCTTATATTATGGCTTCAAGGGGATTCTTCCAAAATCAAGAGAAAAATATTCTAACACATTCTCTCCTCACCAAAGAAGAAGCTAGAGTCTAATTGCAAGGTAATACTACTTTTTGCAATCCCACACTGAAAAAAATGATCTTGCAGTTATAGCAAAAATTATCTAGATACGACAAATTAGCTAAGACAATTAATTGATTTATTAGCTTATTAAAACTAGCTAATAGACAAAAACGACTACCAACGAAAATGAGACAAACCTATAATCCTCACACCTATTTAAATTCGCTTCCAGATATTGCTAGAGTATTGCTGCTGTAAATTTCACGTACAACGCAGAGGATTTCCTAGCAAATATAAGAAACAGCGTTAAATTTTAACTGTGACACTTAGAATTCTACCTAGACCAAAGCAAAATATTTTTCCGAGTACATATTCTAAATGAATGTTTATTAAAGAGTATTATTTCTCCTCTAATGAAGAATAATGTGTTTAAAATATTTTCTTATTGGTTTTAAAAGAATTCTCTTGAGGCCATATATGAGAGAATTCCGCTGAGAATGAGACGATATTTTTTTGAGTGTTTACAGACAGATTTTAAATTTTGATCATAACAGGATATTTACTGAGTTTGTTAGATCTTGGGCGGATTTACTTTGGCGAGTTGAATTTCTGTTAACAACATACTATTTGCACAGAATAGCTATTACGTTAATAAATTACACAACGCGGAAACGTCGCACTCAATTGTGTCAAGTGATCGTAATCAGTTTTCTTACATCGTAATACGGCGAACTTGCTCGAGCTCATCGTCTACTCCCTTTAATATCAATCAAAACGAAGAACTCGCGACTGTCGGGCGGGGAAGTGTTTAAACACCTACATCGACGTGAGGATCCTTAAGGAAGTAGCGATAAAGTTTACGCCGTTGACGAAACGTAATTACGGTGAATTCTAATGAGGCTGCCGGCGAAGCTCTTGGGTGAGTGGGAAGGGAAATAACGCTTTTAGGATTATAATGAAAACTGCCATAAACCTGTAGACTCTTCCACCGACCTTCGATTCCGTCCTAATTGCGCCATTGGGCTTGCAGAACTCTCTCTTCGCCGTTTATTACGTCTGATACAGACAGAATTTCTTCCTTTACCTCCCTTTCTCCCCCCGCCCCACTTCCCTTATCTCCTCTCCATTAAAATGTGAAAAGACGCGATGGGCCCGTAAATAAAACAAAAGGACTAAATTACTCAGCACATAACTGGCGACAAAAGTTGCGAAAAATTCGCGATAGAGACGGTGGCGGATCGCTCGAATCGGCAGAGTCCACAGTCGGCGTCGCGTTGAATAATTCAAGTGAAATGCTACTCAGGAAGACATAAGATCCTGAGTATTATCGGGCGATAAACTCAGAGCGTGCCAATAATTAAACGTGGCTGCGAGAATTTCCCGGACGAGAA